CAGCGCCCGGCGCGCGCGGCCCGGCCCCGCCCCCGCCGCTTCTCATTGGCCGCGGCGGCGCCGGCCTCTCCCGGAGAGGCTAAACCGCCCGCCCGCCCGCCAATCCGGGCTCTCCGCCCGCTCCGCCCCGCCCCCCCGCGTTATTCCCGCCTCCTCCTCCTCCCTCCGCATCCCGCCTGCGCTTCGTCTCGCCATTGGGTAGCAGCGCTGTCTCTCCGGGAGAGCGCGGGCGCTGATTGGCTGGAGGGATTGGTGGGCTAACAACAGCACGCCTCCGCCACGGGGAGGAAGGGGCGGGCTCTCGGGGAGAGGAGCGCGGGCTGCTATTGGCTGCGCTGAGGCCCCGCCCTTCGGGTCAGAGGGGAGCGGAGCGGTTACCTAGCAACGACGGGACGCGGGCGGAGGCCCGAGGCCCACCCCGAGGGGGACCCCGGCCCGTGACCCCACCCCGAGGGGGACCCCGGCCCGTGACCCCCCACACACACCACGACCCCTCCGTTCCTGGGCTGGGCCGCTGCCCCCGGTCCCCCCCGAGAAGTAGACGCGTCTGTTCCCAGGCCCCGCCATGCTTTGGTGAGGCATCGGTGGCTGCAGGGAGGAGATGGGGCCTGAGGAAGGGCAGCCTGGCCCAGCAGGTGCCATGAATCACAGAATCACAGAATCACAGAATCACAGAATCACAGAATCACAGAATCACAGAATCACAGAATCACAGAATCACAGAATCACAGAATCGCCCAACCGTCAACCTAACTGACAAAATTAGACACCCACACAACAAACAAGGAGCATCATCACTAAACCATACCTCCCAGCACTTCATCAACCCGTCTTTTGAACACCTCCAGGGATGGTGCCTCAACCACCTCCCTGGGCAGCCCATTCCAATGGCTGAGAACCCTTTCAGTGAAAAAATTTTTCCTAATATCCAGCCTGAACCTCCCCTGGGGCAACTTGAGGCCATTTCCTCTTGTCCTGTCGCCTGTGACTTGAGAAAAGAGACCGACCCCCACCTCTCTACACCCTCCTTTCAGGGAGTTGTAGAGAGCAATAAGGTCTCCCCTCAGCCTCCTCTTCTCCAGGCTGAATAACCCCAGTTCCCTCAGCCTCTCCTCATAAGACTTATTCTCCAGACCCCACACCATCTTTGTCGCCCTTCTCTGGATCCGCTCCAGCACCTCAATGTCTTTTTTATGGTAGGGGGCCCAAAACTGGACACAGTACTCAAGGTGAGAACTGAAGGGCAGGAGGGGGGGCCCGTCGGTGAAAGACGATGCTCCCCAGAGCCCAGGATTACACCCCTCTCTGATGAGGTGGGGATTTTCAAGCTGGAAGCGAGCCTCTGCATCAACAGCTCTCACCTGAGCCGAGCATCAGCAACGCTGGACGAGGCGAACACGGAGCTAGGAAACAATGGGATGTTTCCCTCATCTCATTCTATTCAGGGTTGGCGTTTGCTCCACACAAGCACCAGCCTCGGCCAGGCAGGGGCAGCCCCCAGCAGTAACGGAGCACAGACTGCACAGCTCTGTTTGAACAAGAGGACAGGGCAGTAATAAAGTGTCAAATGCAAGTGAAAACCACATTATGAAATCCAAGCAACCCGCTTATATTTTTTACCAATGTTGTTCTTGTGGTGTAAATAGCAAAGAAGTGCCAGTTCTGACCTCCTGAAAGCCCTCAGGGACAGGAAAGAAGTGCCAGTTCTGACCTCCTGAAAGCCCTCGGTGACAAACTGAGGGACAGGAAAACGTGTGGCTGATGCGATGGGCTCTGGTTTCCCCCGTTGATTCCTTGAAGCCCGAGCACAGCAGTGGGGGTGAACTGGCTACCCCTGGACACATAAACCACCATCAACTTGTTTTTCAGGTCAAATTCCTCCTCATTTTAAGAGGCTCCATCTTTCCAGCACTCCAATACTGCACCGTGTGTCCTGCTTTTGGGTTCAGCAGTTCTCTGCACCTTCGATTTTGGGGCAGTTACCCCCATCTGCTGATGACTCGCCCCGCTGGATCCGACTCCTCCACCTGCTGCCAGGGAACAGGGCTCTCCCTTTCCTGTTGATCCTCAACCCTCTTGTCTCCATCTAGTGTCCAAATCACACTTCGGCTTCTCTCCCAGCTTCACAGGCTTAACAGCTTGCACGTCGCTGTGCGACAGCCAAATTAAGCTGAAAAGGCTCAGATTCACATCAGAACCTCCAACTGAGGTTGGCCCCAATTGCTTTCGTGTCCCCACAGGTGGAGAAGAGCTGCTGGACTGCCGCAATGCACAGTGTAGGGAGGGGCTTCAAAGCTTGATGCTGATCAAGGAATAAACCACTGCTGAGAGCCACCAGGACTATCTCAGGTCCTCAGCCTTCTGCAGATGGACACAGCCTGTCCCACGCTCGGATTTGGGACAGGTAAAAGGATCCCTCTGTAGAGATGGGCAGGGAAAACCTGCTGAAGGCCCTCAAGCTTACAGTACCTGGCGTCTTCAGTCTTGCCAGGCTGAGCGAGACAGTTCATGCTGTCTGCACCAAGGAAAAGGCTTGGTCCCAAAGGAGAAACGCTGCGTTTGCCTACTGCTCTGTCTTCAGTCTTGCCAGGCTGGGTGAGACAGTTCATGCTGCCTGCACCAAGGAAAAGGCTTGGTCCCAAAGGAGAAACACTGCTCCGGGACCGAGGAGCAGCGCTGAGTGTGGCAGGAGGATGAGGGAGATGGCCATGACCTCCACTGCCACCCACATCCAGAAAAGCTGCTTGTTCCAGACCCTCCTCGCCTCAAAGATGAAGAAAAAGGGAGAGGGCAAGAAGGCCAAGAAATAAGCACAAAATCCATCTTCTGTCCTCCAAGTCTTTCCTCTCAGCATGGCTCTTTGCTCTCCTGGGGCTCAGCTCCCCCAGATTACATTACAGCTCCCCCAAATTACATTAACTGAGACAGCACTTGTATTAAGGCCTGAGCCTACCAGGGCTGGCTGTCACAGAGGACATCAGAGCAGTGGCGTGACAACATCTCGCCATTTTAGGTTGAGCTCTGGTGCCTTTCAAAAGCAAGAATAACCAATGGGACCCGACCAGGAGTGTCCCTCCTGCCTGGCCTTCCCAGCCTGAGTGTCCTTCATGTGCTGGAGCGGCTCAAGGCCCAATCCAAGGCTCCAGGTGGCAATAAAATCATTTCTGGGGGCAGAACGATGCCTTTAACCTGGCTGGGTTTGTCCTTGGATGAATTTGAGAGAATACTTCCCCTGCGTTCCCCAACCTCAGCGGGTCATCACTGCAGCCCCCCTTCTCCCAGGGGAGTGGTGACACCAGCTGCAAAACCCAAAGTCACCCAGCTTGTGTCCTTTATCTGCCTCCCTGCTTGCATTCCTAAAGACCAAGCTGCCCTTTCCCACCTCAGGAGTGGAAACCGAGGAGGAGCTGCTTTCCTGAGACAGTCTTTGGAGACACCAGCTGTGCCAGGATCACACAGCAGCGTCCCACAGACAAAACACAAAGCCCCAGCAGATTTGTCTTGGAGCATTTATTTGGTGACAAGCATGGAGTTGCTGTGAGAGCACCTCCCAACCCTCAGTACAAATGATGGCATTCTGTGTCCACACAGCATGTCCTCACCACCAGAAGCTGCTGGACGCAGCAGGACACTGGGCGATGCTGTTCCTCACCTCTCTGTTTGTCCTTCCTTCTCCTTCCATGCCAAAGGAGACCATTAAAGCGTTGATGAAATGGAGCAAAGCCACCAGAGAGCCACCAAGATGGTCAGGGCTGAGGGACTGGGGCTTGTTCAGCCTGGAGAATGGAAGCTGTTGGGGCCTCAGAGCAGTTCCTGGTACCTGCGAAGAGGAGGTGACAGTAAGGATGGAGCCAAGCTTTGTGGTCAGGTGCAGAGCAGAATGAGAGACCAGACACAAACCTGGAACAAGAAAGGCTCTGGCTGGACAGAAAGGGAAACTCTTCACCCCAAGGACAGTCAAGGAGCTGGAGGGGGTGCCAGAGAGGTTGGGCAGCCTCTGTCCTTGAGGGTTTCCACCACCCACCTGGATGAAGCCCTGAGCAGCCCCTACTCAGCTGCCTCCAGCAGGAGGTTAGGTTGGAGACCTCCTGCAGACCCATGGAGCACGAGTGGTCCTGTGATTGTACATGGCAGGGGGACAAAGCAGGACTCCCCTCTCCCCAGAACTGGTCAGTGGAGGTCCCCACCAGGGCCCTCAGACCATAACTGCCCTGGCCAGCCTCACCCGGGACCTCCACCCTGGTGGCACCCTGGTCTGGGACCTCCACCCAAGCTCACTGTCCCCCCAGAGCTACACTGTAGGTGTACCTGTGCCTGGTCCTTCTCCTGGATGGGCCCTGGACCAACGCTGTAGGCAGCCAGGCCTCCTGCTCTTCCGACTTCCTGGACAGAAGGAACCCGACTCGTTACCACACCTCATCTGACGACCACCAGAGAGTCAATGGAAGCTGCTGTTACCACCAAGGCTGTGGTCACCCTCGATTCCTGGATTGTTTCCCCTCGTGGAGCATCCCCGTCCTTCCTTCACAGCCATGGGAGGTCCCAGAGTCCTTGTAGACTCGTTCTCCAGGAGGTCAGGCCCCACTTCAGGGAGGTTGAGGCTGCATTTGCATCCAGAGGGACATCTGGCTTCACTTCCAGGGAGGCCTGGGTTTGCAGCCCCCCGCTGCCGTGGGACTCCTGGCCAAAGGAGGTCCGGACACGCTTTTGGACCGACCCCTCATCAGAGGACCTCGGGGGGTCGCAGGGGCCGTCAGAGGGCTCTGGTGCTTCCACCTTTCTGTCTTGGGGGTCTCCGAAGGCAGGAGGAGCCCGTTGGAGGGGGCATTCAGCCGGCTGAGGGACTGGGAACGTCCTCTGCTGGGACCACCCCGGCCTTCGGAGCAAGAACCGCTCTGGGGACGCTTCCAGGGGCAGGACTGTCCCTTGTGTCCCCCCTCAAAGGCTGCTGCCGCCAGA